CACTCACCAGGACAGACCACAGTCTGGCCATTAAAACACTCCTTAACAAGTGTAGCAGAGGTAAAATCATATAATGGAGCTAAACTAGAAATCCACGACAGGAAGAGAAGTCAAACTATGTAGAGACTAAAGAACACACTTCGTAGAATAAGATCTCCAGAGAATTTTAAAATATTTTGAAACTAAATGAACACGAGAATACAACTTAACAAAAATTGTGTGGGAATGCAGTACTGAAAGCGGTACTTAGAGGAAATTATACCACTGAGTGCAGGTACTGGAAAAGAAGAACTATCTAAAGATAATAATCTAAGCTTCAACTCTATAAAACTAGGAAAAGAGGAGAAAATTAAATCCAACATATGCACACAAAGAGAAATAAGAGCTAGAGCAAAAACCAAACAAAACCAAACACAGAAAGTCAATTGAGAAAAATCAGTTAAAACCAAAAGCTGAAACGATCTTCAGAATTAATTCTTTGAAACAACTGAAAAAATTAATGAACTTGTAGCCAAGCTAAGAAAAAAGAAGAGAGGACACAAAGACACAAATGGCTACTATCAGAAATGCAAGAGGAGACATCATTACAGATCCTACAGATATTAAAAGAATATGAAAAACTCTACACTTGCAAATTTTATAACCTCACTGCGACTTCAATTCCTTGAAAGACACAATTTGCTAAAACTCACATGAAAAGAACTAGATGATCTGACTACCTACATTAAGAAATACATCTATTTCTTAAATTGAATAAATAATTAATAACCTTCTAAGACAGAAAGCACTGGGCTCAATGGTGATGTCTGGTAAACATTAAGAAGAAAGAATATTATTTCTCTGTAAGTCTTTCATAGTACATAGCAAAGGGAATATTCACTAACTCATTCTATGAGGCCAGCAGTCACAGACCCAAATGAGGAACGAAAACCACAGATCATATCATCATGAATGTAGATGTGAAAACCTTAACCCACTCTTAGCAAACTGAATCCACAATGCACAAAGAGAATGATACATGTGACCAAGTGTGGTTTATTCCAGGTATGCAAAGCTGCTCAACATTTGAAGACAGGGCCAGGAATGTAACCAATGGTACTGAACTTGCCTAGCATGTGTAAGGCCCTGGTTCAATCTCTAGCACCACAAAAAGTACATTGAAAACCAATTAATTGAATCTATCACATCAACAGGTTAAGAAAAATCCATACTCACGTCAATGAATGCTAAAAAAAGAAAGCATTCAACCTAATGAATATACCTATTCATTATAAAACTCTCAGCAAAACTGGGAGAGAAAGAAACTCCCTCAACTTGATACAAAAACCTACATCTAATATCATACTTAATGCTGAGAAACTTTGAAGATTTCCCTCTGAGATCGGGAACATACCTTTTCAAGATCATCCTAGAAGTGCTAACTAAGGTGATTAAGACAATGAAACTTGTAAAAGGTATAAAATTGGAAAGGAAGAAAAAAAATTCTTTGTTCACAGATGACAAAAATTGTTGTGCAGTAAATCTAAAAGAATCTACAAAAATATCTCTTAGATATAATAGCGATTACAGACAGCTTGCAGGTTACAAGTGGACTGCTTTCCTAAACGCTAGCAATGAGCAAGCCAAATTTGAAATTAAAAATATAATACTATTTGTAATAGCAACAAAATATTTGATATAAATTTAACAAAATATTCACAAGGTCTATATAAGGAAAAATACAAAATTCTGATGAGCGAAATCAATAAATAAGAAAACAGAGAGGTATTCCAAGTTTCTTGTCAGCAAGACTCGACAGTGACAAAACATCAGTTCTTCTCAACTTAGTCTATGGATTTAATGCAATCCCAGTGAAAACCCCAACAAGTTATTTTGTGACTCTCAGCAACATGATTCTAAAGTTGAATGAAAAGGCAAAAGACCTCAAATAGCCAACACATATTGAAGAAGAACAATGTTAGAGGACTGGTACTATCCAACTTCAAAACTTACCATAAAGCTACGGTAATCAAAACAGGGTGGTATGACCAAAGAATAAATAAATAGATCAATGGAACAAAGCAGAGAGCCCATAATAAATCAACACAAATACAGTCAACTGAACTCTGGCAAGAGGAAGGAGGAAGGAAGGAAGGAAGGAAGGAAGGAAGGAAGGAAGGAAGGAAGGAAGGAAGGAAGGAAGGAAGGAAGGAAGAAGGAAGAAGGGAAGAAAGAAAGAAAGAAAGAAAGAAAGAAAGAAAGAAAGAAAGAAAGAAAAAAGAAAGAAAGAAAAGAAAGAAGGAAGGAAGGAAGGAAGGAAGGAAAAGGAAGGAGGGAGGGAAAGAGAGAGAGGAGAGCTAGAGAAAGGGAGGAGGGAAGGAGATAGGAGGAAAGAAAGAGAGAGAAAGAAAGAAACAGAAAAGAAGAAAGGAGGAAGGAAGGGGATGAAGGAGGAGTGAGAGAGGATGAAAAGAACTGCAGATGTAACATGCAGTATGATCAATGGTCCTACTCAACATCTTTAGCTTTTTAAATGTAAGAAATTACTAGCAAAATAAATTTTTAAATACTAACACAGCAGGAGGCACACAGATAGAAACTAAGCAGAAGATCGAGGCAACCAGATCTCCAGGCTTGGACATTGTGCGGCTCACCCGCATCTCAGGCTCCACTCCGGCCAACAAGGCACCGTGGGCTGCACAGAGTAGGCCCATTCTCTACAACTGAGCTGGGTTTGCCTCCGTGAGCGAAATATTCTCAGATGAAAAAGGCCATTATTTCTAGCCAATGTCAAAATAAGAGAAGTTGTTGGAAATAATTGTGTTAAGAGAAAAAACAAAGAAACATTTTTTGATGTCAGTAATAACGGTCCTCAAAGCTCTAATTCTGGCATGACAGTGACTGTGAGGGCTTTCGTCCATGCTGCAGTGCGGTCCTACTGCCCTTTCCTGCTGGCTGGTGCAGGCCCTGGCCCACAGGGTGGCCAAGGTCTGAAGTCTGCAGGGCTTCGTGTACCTCCCAAAGACAGAGCCCTGCTGCCTACGCTAATGGCTCATTGTGGTCCTGCAAAGTGGCCTGAAGAAGTTCTTATGGTTGAGAGGACAACCCACTTCCAAAAAATGGCTGCTCCTGCTTGGAGTTGATCTCAGCATGGGTGAGCAGGCATTATGTTCCTGGAATTCAAAGGAGGAAGGGAAGGAAATCCTCAAGGTTGAGTGGCACCTGTGTGGCTGAAAGAATAAAAGCTGAAGAAGAGTGGATCTGCCTTCTTCAGATTTCTTGCTGCTGAGGTGGGCCACTGACTTGTCCTCACCTTTGTCTGACTCATCTTCCCGGTCTTTGATTTCAAATTTTCACCTCCAGAACTGAAATTGGGTTATATCTGTACAGCCAGCAGCAGTTGGCATACAGAGGCCCATAGTAAACATTAATAAGTTGTGGATATTTAACTGAGTAACTGAATTCATGAATGGCACAGACTATCTGCTGGAGATTATTCAGTAGCTCAGCTTCTTCCTATCTGCCGAGTCTTGGATTTCTGATTCTAAAAGTGTGTAATAACACTTATTCAGAGACCTCTCTTTCTGGAATCCTTTTGCCAATGTTAGCACCCAGCACAACTTCACTTTATAATAACAAGAAAAGCCCAAGTTGGCACCACTGACAGAGAAAGTCACTAGCCTAGCCACACCAAGACACTTGTTCCCCAGCACAGGTCCCAGCTCTGGGCTGAGGCGTCTTCTCCTAGATTCACATTTAGAATTAAACCATGTGACCTGTGGACTGATATCTGAATGGGCAAAGCTGTAAGGTCAGGGTTGACATGTAATGGTCAAAGACCATAATCTCCTTTTTGTTTTTTAAGTTGCCACCTTTAGAAAGAGGTAAAGTTTTTATTCTTTTCAACATCATACACTTATGTATACACATATACACACACACATGTGCATTTGAACTGAGAAACACAAGTCAGTCATTATACATTTTATACCAGTAATTATTGTGGCTTACTATACCTAGCTTTTACTATGTTTATGTAACAACCAACTGGTTAAATAAAAACTTATACTAAATAGAGACCAAGTATACAATTTGCCTCATCAAAGAAACTCAATAGAAAAAACATATTCTGACCCTGAATAAACTTCTCACCAATTGGTGCAGACTCTCCATAACCCCACCCACACCTCCCACGAGGACCCAGCAGCCTGAGGCTTCACTCTCACCTGCCCAGTTCCTGCCCATGGGGATGAGTGGGCTGTTGTGCACCTGTCTTAGGTCAGGGTCTCTTTTCTCACTTTCCGTCCCGATGTACTGCTGCATCTCTGGTCTGACCAGCTTTTGGTTCTCGAGGTGTGGGCCAGGGCCAGGCTCCCCAGACTGCCTGCCCTTACAAGGCTTCACGGGAGGCAGTGTGCAGGAGAGACACCCTTCTCACATCTGCCTCTTCATTATGCAGTCTCTGTGGGACATCTGCATCACTGTTTCTAACTGGAATTTTTTCAAGTCTTGAAGACTTGAAGACAGTTTGATGCCAGCACTGAGTTTGCTAGATGGCTGGCCTTTCTGTCCTGCACTCACCCCTGCTGCTCACCGAGCTGCGGACTCCGCTCTGCTCCATTAACTCCTCCCTTCTTGACCACCTTCATCTCACCTGGAAAACGTGCTCTAGAGACACAACAAGGAATCTAACAATTTTTAAAGGTTCACGAAAACCACTCAGTATACTTGATGGTAGCATAATGCTGAGGAGGACCAGGGACATCATAGCCCATGCAGCTCTGTCTCAGTGCTGAAACAAGGGAGGCAAGTCAGATGCATATCCTGGTTCTGTTTGTAATGGGGAAAAAAATGGAAGCCTAAAAACCCATGCGCAAAACTGGGTGTGATGGTACATCCCTGTAACCCACTACTCAGAGGCAGAGGCAGGAGGATATGAGTTTGAGGCCAGCCCAGGCAAAGGCAGTGAGACCCTGTCTCAATAACAAAGTAAAAACAAAAAGGCTGAGGATGTGGTTCAAGTGGCAGAATACTCACTTAGCATGCAAGATTGAACTCACTGGGTTCAATCTCTAGTATATAAAAAAATCAAACAAGCAATCCAACAAACATGCATGGGGATTGCACAAAATTAGGGTCAAAAAATGGTGGATTTGATGGGGCCATCTGAAGGTATGCTGTGGAGGTCTAGACAACCATGGGAGAAGCTGCACCTGCTCTCTCTACTCAACTCTCAAACACACAGTCAAGGCCACCAGCACTGCAGCAAGCCCTGGGTTGTGACAATACCTTGCTTATGACAAAGAGCAGGTTAGCAGAGGGCTGTGACACACACAGGTCAGGCCAAAGCAGTGGTGCAATCAACGACATCCTTCTCTGACTCAGTCTCACAGAAACAACATGACGTCTCCATCTCCAAATGCTCTTTACAAACATCTCCATTTGCATTTTAAAATAGCACTCTTTCTATTAACTGATTTACAACCAGTATTATCTTTTTGTCTTTTCTTCTGGTTAAGACAGTTTCTTTAAATGCTGTGGTCCTCCTTCTACACCCACATTCTTGTAGAGTTTCTTAAATTCCTGTTTTCCCTCGCTCTGGTTCCCATGTTCTCTCTGTATCCTGACTACACTGTCCACACAGTGCCACCTGTGACTGTATTTGTCCATCTTTCTGTATCTCAGTGAGATCGAACACGCATACAGACTGAATAACCAATACTTTAACTATAAAAAGCTTTCAAAATGTCTCTTTCTCTGCAACAAAGGTTTATATCTTGATTTCCTCTCCCTGCACGCAATGAAAATTGGCATGTGATCTTAAATATCACAAAATTTCACCAAAATAAAGTCTGACAGATTCTTATGCTGTAAGGCAAGGACGGGAACAGTAGAGACGCCCCACCCACGCAGACGACTGTATCTGGGGGGCTGACGGGTTGAAGGCCACTGCAGCAATGGTGTCTGTGTGTCCTGCCAGCCGGTGGGAAAAAGTGCTGGACCCCGTGTGGTAAATGTACACCTAGGAGACAAGGGGAACAGGTGACCCGGGCTGGCTGAGACGTGTTCGCATCTGAGGACTAATCTCAGGGAAGGAGTAAGCCTTTGTGTCCCAATCATACCCACAGAGTAGAAGATGATGCCAGTCGTCCTTTCCCACTAGGCAGCTTGGAATCTGAGTGATTCAAAGATTTTTCCTACAGCTATGGACTTAAAGGTTCTCTCAGGGAATTACTACATATTTTACATGCACATGAACTCACACTCAAGCTGCCATCAAAGACTGTCTTGGGAGCAAAATCCAGAGTGAGGACCCATGCTGATGTGGTCCAAGAGACAACGGCCATGAAGTAGGAAGACATGTCAAGCATTTTCTCAAGGCTCACTGGTGATAGAAAGAAACACCACACTGCCTCAACACTTTCTCTGCCTTGACATAGCGTTTACTTAGGAGGTGCACATCTACCCGTGAGGCCTCATGCCCATGCTGCCTGAGTTTGTGCATTCCTAACAGTTCCCAGCCACAGGCACAGCAGGGCCGGGACCCCCACCTGGTGAAATGCGTGCTAGGGGAGGCCCAAGAAGTGCACAGAGCCGCTGTGCAGACCATGTCAACAAGGCATACCTCTGTACCTTACCCACTTCCCATTTTCATTAAGGAAATGTGATATGCATGTTCCTAACACACTCCAGAGCACCTGTGCTGAGGGACTGGCCTGGCTTATCTGTTGAAGTGTGCCTTCTAAGTGACTGGGCCACTGGCAATGTGACCATGACATTAGACTGAAGCAATGAGGTCCATGCACACCTCACTCAGAGCATTTCAGGGTGACCTTCTCTCAAAGTGTTTCCAAACCCATCCCTGCTCGTTTCACCTGTTTCTTCACGGAACTGATCTGATCACAGATCTGGAGGTCTTGGGCCTCAAGGCTCTCGTCTGTGCCATGCAGACTCAGGACATGAGGGAAATGATGGCAACTCTGCCAGCAATCCCATAAACCCAGCCCACAAACCACCATCCATGTTTGGTTCTGTGGACTTCACTCTTCTAGATACCTCGAATAACCTGTTTGTCCTTTGCTGTCTAGCTCATTTCCCTCACAGTAAGCATGTCCTCCATGTTGGCCCATGTTGCCATGGGCTGCAAGACTTCCTCCTGGCTGAGGTCACATGATATCCCACACGTTACACACCAGGCTTTCTTTAGCCATTCACTGCCAATGGATGCTGAGATTGATTTCCATAGCCGGACTGTTATGAATGTGCCGCCATGACACAGAAGTGTAACTATCTCTTCAAGTTACTGATTGAAACTCTTTTTTACAACTAAATTTTTATTATTTACTTAATTAGCTCTTTTCTTCTATATCAAGGGTCGGAAAGCACTCTCTGTAAGGGATAGTTAGTAAATACTTTGTGGGACACACGATCTCTGTTGCACCACGCAAGTCGCCATCACAGCAAAAAGCAGCCATAGATATAATGTCATTTTATATAAATGACTAAGTGTCATTTATATAAAAATAAAAACTCCACCAATTTATGCTTTATGTTGTGACTTGCATGTAAGGACAATGACTTTTCCTTTTAAATTTTAAGTACAAGGGAGTTGCACTGGGAAAATCTCAGATGCGCACTCTGTACTTTGAACACGTTCACCCCTCCGTTTTCCTTTAGCCCCCTCCTCTCTCCCTCCCTTTTCAAGCCTAAGTGCCCAACAACCAATCAATGGACAAAGAAAATGTGGCATATAAACATAATGGACTATTATTCAGCCATGAATAAGAATGAAATGATGACATTTGCAGGAAAATGAATGAACTGGAGATCATTTGAGCAAAATAAGCCAAGCTCAAAAAGTCACTTCCACATGCTCTCACTCACACATGGAATCTAGGTCCAAAATGACAAGAATATTAATAATGAAAATGGGACATGAATGTAAAAGGCGGACTCTGAAGGGTGGAAATCAGTGTGGGGGGAGGGAGACGAACGAGGGCACCAGGAGGTGACGAGATTCAAAGTATATTACATGTATGGTATGAAGGTAATGAAACCTACCAAATACTGATGGATAAATGTCCAGGAGTAAGATTTCTGGCCCCATGATTGTTCTAGTTTTCTCTTTTCTAGGACCTGAGCCACCATCATGGCTGTACCACTTAGACACCCACGACAGTGCACAGGAGTTCCTGTCTCTCCCACATCCTCACCAACACTTGTCAACCCTGTCCTTTGGTACTAGTCATCCTAACAGGTGTGAGGTGATGGTTTGGCTCTGATTTGGTGACACTAAGTACCCTTTCATACACCTGTGGGACATTTGCAAGCTTCCTTGGAGAAAATCTATTCAAGCTGCCTGGGGCCATCTTTATCTGAGTTTCCTCTGCTGATGACATTTGCCTAAAGCAGTTACTTCACTGAGATTGCAAAGGGAGGTTTTCTAATTCTGCCACTCATTCTACTTGTCTGGAATTCTCTATTGAACTTTCCCTCAGCAACTAGAGTACTTGGTTAATTTGAAATACAGTCCCACACAGGAAAGGCAAGACAAATGCTTGATTCTCCCTTAATAGGCTTTCCTTGTGAGAAGCTGTGCCCTCACAAGGCTGTGGGGCCAGCCAGGGTTTGTTACATGCTTGTTTTGCTTTTGTTGTTAGCTGTATTTCTTCGAGGAACGTTGGATTATAAATCATGAGGTTCAAATGCACAATGTTTTTCCATCAAGCACAGTCATTCTTTTTTTTTTTTTTTTTTTTTTTTTTTATATTCCTACATTTTTAGTCACAGGATATGTTACTGGATTTTATTTTTTTTTTTTTTTTCATTTTTCTTTTATTATTCATATGTGCATACAAGGCTTGGTTCATTTCTCCCCCTGCCCCACCCCCTCCCTTACCACCCACTCCACCCCCTCCGCTCCCTCCCCCCCCAATACCCAGCAGAAACTATTTTGCCCTTATTTCTAATTTTGTTGTAGAGAGAGTATAAGCAATAATAGGAAGGAACAAGGGTTTTTGCTGGTTGAGATAAGGATAGCTATACAGGGCATTGACTCACATTGATTTCCTGTGCGTGTGTTACCTTCTAGGTTAATCTTTTTGATCTAACCTTTTCTCTAGTTCCTGTTCCCCTTTTCCTATTGGCCTCAGTTGCTTTAAGGTATCTGCTTTAGTTTCTCTGCGTTAAGGGCAACAAATGCTAGCTATTTTTTAGGTGTCTTACCTATCCTCACCCCTCCCTTGTGTGCTCTCGCTTTTATCATGTGCTCATAGTCCAATCCCATTGTTGTGTTTGCCCTTGATCTAATGTCCGCATATGAGGGAGAACATACGACTTTTGATCTTTTGGACCAGGCTAACCTCACTCAGAATGATGTTCTCCAATTCCATCCATTTACCAGCGAATGATAACATTTCGTTCTTCTTCATGGCTGCATAAAATTCCATTGTGTATAGATACCACATTTTCTTAATCCATTCGTCAGTGGTGGGGCATCTTGGCTGTTTCCATAACTTGGCTATTGTGAATAGTGCCGCAATAAACATGGGTGTGCAGGTGCCTCTGGAGTAACCCCACACAGCACTTTGACATGTGACTTAGATGTTCCCTCCTCCAGGCTCCTGCTTCAGCCCTCTCCTTCCATGGAGCCAGACTCCATGGACACTGGCTGACAGGTTCTTTGACTCTGTCACAGGTGGCCCTCCTCCTGTTCCCCACGCTTGGCTGTTCATTTCCATATGTCCCCTCATCAGGCCTGCCTTTCCTGTCCATGTTTCTGCCAACACTGTGATCACACACAAGAGTTACCTCTGAGAAGCTTCAGCCTTTCCCTTCAGCACCAGAACTGCCCTGATACTCCAGTGGCTGCCCTCTTGTCTTCTCCCACAATCTCTTCACCCTGCCCCTGCCCAGTTCCAAAGCCACATCTTCTGTTAGGTGGCCATTTCAGCAGCACCCACTCTTGGTGCCCATTTTTCTCTACTCTGCTCTGTGCTGCTGTAACAGACTGCCTGAGACTACAGAATGGAAATTCATTTCTCACAGTTCTGGAGGCTGTGAAGCCTAACATTGAAGGGCCAGCATCTGGCCAGGACCCTCATGCTGTGTCCTCACGTGGTGAGAGGTGGAGGGTCACACTCACCCTTTTATCATGGCATCAGTTTGTTCCTGAGAATGGAGCCCTCATGGACAGGTCACCTCTCAACACTGTTACAATGGCAATGAAATTTCAAGGAGGGTCTTCAGAAGGGACAAATGAACAACAGAAATGTCCTTACAAGAGAGAGGAAAAGAGGGGGAAAAGAAAGAATAACAGAGAAGAAGAATGACCAAAGGACATTGCATGCATGTGTGGAAACTTTGTACAGTTAATCTACACTAATTAAAAGAGTAGGGGACAAGGAGATTTGAGGCACATGGAGGAGAAAGGCCATGTAGAGAAGGGGGTGGGGGGATCACAGCCTCCAGCTAGGACACCAGGGACTCACAGCATGGCATGCTTTCTTCCCCACATCCCCAAGAGGGAGGCAGAGGCCTCTAGCACAGTGAGGAAGTGGCCATGCCAATTGTAGCTCTAGAAACCTGCAAGACCTTCCATGTGTTGAGGATGAAGAGACATTTATTACTCTCTGCTCCAAATCCACATGAGGTGTGAGTCTGGTGGGTCCTTGGCAGGGGAGAGGTGGCAATTTCAGTACAAAAGACACTTGTCCCCTTAGAAGCCCAACATGGATGAGGGACACCTGCAGTTACACAGTGTGATGTGGTATTTTATCGATTGATATTATTATCTTGTAATTCAAAGAAAGGCAGCATGGATCACAATGTCTTTCACACAGGATATACTCAGTGTTTGTGAAATGATGAATTAATGAATGAAATGATTAGAGTTTATGGTGCTTCATTAAAAAATCAGAGCTTTCGACACTCACACACTCCTGTTACAAAGTAAGAGCATGTGTGAGGGACTCAGCACCCTGAGCGGCATCTGCTTGCAGTACTTTCATCCAAGCATACCATGACACCAGAGTCTATGTGACAATGCGTCTAGTGTCCCCACCCTGAGAACCCAGCAAGCACACATACGTGTCTGTCCTCCGCACCGCAGGCCAAGAACCGTCCGCATGGACTGAACGCAATTCCACATGGGTAGCAACGGTTTGGATGCCCTTGGAAACGGCGCTCACACCTACGAGAACAGAAACACCTGCATAGCAAATGCTTTACATCTTAACACAAGTTAGAGAAACGACACGAGCTTATTGCTCTTCTTCATAGAAACAAAAGAAATTTTTTGAAGTTCTAGGTTCAAACCTGGGGTCTTGCACATACGAGGCAAGTGCCCCACCACTGAGCTACATCCTGAAAAAACAACTTATATGTGAAAATTGTTAAATGGTGAATAATTAAGGAGAGTTTTTAAAACAATCCAAAATACTTTCACAATCATAAATTCCCAGAGATTACAAAGCTAGGTAAGCGAAATTTTTATAGATGGCAAATATTAAATGACAAACATTTTTTGGAGATCATTAAAAAAATTAAAACAACTTTCTAAAACCATAAATTATTTAGATAAGTGATTCAAATACTTTGGGAAAATGCAAGATTCTATCAAGGGGGTTAAGTTTCACAACCATTTGTAAAGTGCTGTATAAAATATATTTTAATAAATGTGCAACATTTTATAAAAATGTCAGGGAATTTATATACTTATATTGGGAGAATCTCCAACAGCTTTTGGGGGTAAACAGAGCCTTCCTAAGACAGCCTTCAGCAAGCAAGTCCAGCACCAGGTGGGCATCATGGGCACAACGAGGCCAGCAGGGCCCCTGAGCAGAGAGCAGGGCCTCCTTCATACGGCACAGCTGCTCAAGCTTTCAGATGTATCCTAATGATGGAAGGACAGAGCGCGCCCACTGCTAGCTGCATCCTTCTGAGTATAGGGGTGAGGTGTGTACATACAGGAGTGGATGCCCATGTTAGTACATTATATAGGAACTGCACATACAGTAAGTGCTGTAGTAATTATCAGAAGGTATTATAGATGCGGATATATACATACGCGTATACGTAGACTTGCTCAAATGGGAACTTACAGTTCATGTATGTTTATAGGATACATTCATTACATATTAACTAATTTTAACCTATCTTACAAATTGCCCTGGAAAGAGGGAGCTATGGCTCAGTGAGACAGAAAACGTACACATCGTCAGGCCTGCTCCACGTGCTACTCTGGCCTGGTGGCTGGTGTCTAGTACAGAGCAGACACATGTGACAGAAGCAGGAAACTGGGTTGGGGGTTGGCATTGCAGAGCACTGACACCTCCTGCCTGTCTGACACTCAGGAGCCACAGTGACCAGCCTAGAGGACAATGGCACATGTGGCCTCAGCACGGCCTCAGCACCCCACACTGGTGGTCAAACACTACGGTTCTACCACAGGTCGGTCCCCTCAGACTGCATGGTGCGTGGCTGCAGCCTTGTCACCTTTGGGGAAGGGGTTAGGCTGCGTTTAGCTCCAGAGCCCCTCAGAGTGGTGCTGTGACGCAGCCAGCCTTACCTCAGGGTTCTCATATCACACAGTCCGACCCCATCACCAATGGCTGTGGTCAGGAAGAGATTATATGCCTGGGAAGGCTGGGTTGTAAATGGCGATCCCTGCAGTCATAAAGGGACACAGCAGACTTTAGCAGCATGGCACTGACGACAAGCAACAATACCCAGACCTCGTGGGGAACTGACCCTTCTTTTTTAACCTTTTTATTAGCATAGATTAGTTGTACAGGGGTTCATTGTGACATTTCCAAATGTGCTTACAATGTACCTTGTTAGATTAACCCCTCTTTCATTCTCCCTCATCCCCTCTCCCCCCTACTTAGAGAAATTTCAACACATTTCATTCTTCTATTTTCATATAATATACAAAGTACATTGACCATATTCCCCCTCCCCCTCCCACTGGTACAAACCCCTGATCAGGACGTTTTACCTTCCTGTCCTTCATTTTTTATTTTTTAATTTTTTTTCATTATTCATATGTGCATACAAGGCTTGGGTCATTTCTCCCCCCTGCCCCTACCCCCTCCCTTACCACCCACTCCACCCCTCCCTCTCCCCCCCGCCTCGATACCCGGCAGAAACTATTTTGCCCTTATTTCTAATTTTGTTGTAGAGAGAGTATAAGCAATAATAGGAAGGAACAAGGGGTTTTGCTGGTTGAGATAAGGATAGCTATACAGCATTGACTCACATTGATTTCCTGTGCGTGGGTGTTACCTTCTAGGTTAATTCTTTTTGATCTCACCTTTTCTCTAGTTCCTGGTCCCCTTCTCCTATTGGCCTCAGTTGCTTTTAAGGTATCTGCTTTAGTTTCTCTGCGTTAAGGGCAACAAATGCTAGCTAGTTTTTTAGGTGTCTTACCTATCCTCACCCTCCTTGTGTGCTCTCGCTTTTATCTTGTGATCAAAGTCCAATCACCTTGTTGTGTTTGCCTTTGGATCTAATGTCCACATATGAGGGAGAACATACGATTTTTGGTCTTTTGGGCCAGGCTAACCTCACTCAGAATGATGTTCTCCAATTCCATCCATTTACCAGGAATGATAACATTTCATTCTTCTTCATGGCTGCATAATATTCCATTGTGTATAGATAGGTGTTGGCGAGGATGCGGGGAAAAAGGAACCCTCTTACACTGCTGGTGGGAATGTAGACTGGTACAACCACTCTGGAAAAAAATTTGGAGGCTACTTAAAAAGCTGGACATCGATCTACCATTTGATCCAGCAATACCACTCTTGGGGATATACCCAAAAGACTGTGACACAGGTGACTCCAGAGGCACCTGCACACCCATGTTTATTGCAGCACTGTCCTTCATTTTTTAAGTGTGTATTAATTCTTCAAAGGGTTTTCGCTGTGGTATTTTGAATATGCGTACCTGACCCTCTAAGCGAATTAACCCCTCTGTCACTCTCTCTTTCTCTATGCCCATTACCCCTATTATTCAAAAACTTTCAGTGCATTTCATTATGCCACCTTCATTCTTTCTTTCTTTTTGGCAGCACTGGGGTTTGAACTCAGGGCCTCATGCTTGCTAGGCAGGCACTCTACCACTTGAGCCAGTCCACCAGCCCTTCATTCTTATTTATAATGATTCCTGAGTGGGATTCCAGAAATCCATACACAGCCTGTGGGCTGTAGCAAACTTTCAGTCAGTGCAGAAGAGACACACTGTAGCCACCCTAGTCTGGCAAGTGCCACGACGATGTTCATACTGCCATGCAATCACCAGAGAAGCAGTTCTCAGAATGTATCCTGTTGCTAAGCAAGAGAAGATGCTAACTAATGAGGAGCGTTTTGACCTTAGCAATCACCCATGTTATGTTTCCTTCATATGCAATGGTACTAAGAGTCACACAACTAGAAAACAGTAAAAGACAAAAAGACTAAAATACATTTTGAAGTACAGACATATTCAACAAATCATCTGAAAGACAAACTTGCTAAGCACTCAGTGTCTAAGTCAGTTATTTGTCTGCTGGTCATCAGACCCTATGACGCACTGAGAGACCCCTGTGTCTTGGGGTAGGGTCCTCTCAGATCCTGGTCCCAACCTGACTTGTCCACCTTCCCCATACTGCTGTCATAAGAACGGCAGTCATCAGAAACATCACAGAACTGAATGCCAGCAGCAGAGCCATTTGACCCAAAACACTCCTCAAATACAGTGCCATTCATGGTGACTTCCATCCTTCTTCTGTGTCAAGATTATCTAAACTTGATATGGCAGTTCATGCCTGTAATCCCAGTTCTTGGGAGGCTGTGGCAGGAGAATCATGAGTTTGAGACCAGTCTGGGCTACACAGGGGGACCCTGTTTCAAAAAAAAAAAAAAACACTAAAATATTAAGAAAAGTTTAATGAAAGATATCCCTAGACATTTATGCTTAAAAATATAGCTAGAAGTGATTCTTCATTCATAAAGAGGAAGTAAAGACTTATATATAAGTTCAGTAATAACAAGCAGCTAGCATACACTGAGGCTGTACTCTGTGCCTGACAGCATTCTAAACGCTTCATTAGCACTTCTTCCTTTTAACAAACTTCTAAACTATCTAATACTGATTTATAGGCAAGAAACCTGACCCACAGTGGTCCAGTCATGCCGCACTGGTGCTAAGCTCAGGTAGCTCAGCACCACAGTGATGGGTTCCAGGTTATCTGATGACTCATGATAGAAAGATGACTTAGCAAGTGCTCAGCGAACACCTGGAGATCGTCCACTAAGAGCTACACTGAGACACACGCACACCAAAATCACTGCTCACAGATCTCATCTCACAAAAAGTCATACAAAGGCCACCACCCCTCACCACGGCTGACGAGAAAAGGCTGACTAGCACAGAAATGATAGATAAGGGCCAAACCACTTGAGGGAAAGGGTGCATTTTTTAAACTTGATTCAACCCAGTAGATAGTGAGGAAGAAGAAATAAAGACACAAAGAAAACTCCTAAGTAGAAAATCCAGAACTATAAAATATAGAAGAAAAGGTACACAATAAGATCAAATGCCTGTGTCGTCGCAGCAATTGAGCAAGTGGAGGAAAGAAAATGTATTCTTAGATCAGATTTCAAAGAAAACACTTAAATGTATTTCTAAATGTTAAAAGTGAAGGGTGGGAGAAAAATGACATATGAGAATCACAAGGAGGCAAGACTGCACAAGAACTAGAAAAAGGACAACTTAGTTAGAAATAAGATCATAAAATGACCATGGGAATGTAGTAAGCATGAACCTAATTATGCCTAGTAATATGGCCTTCAAATACATTAACCAAAAACTTATAGGGTGATTCTATGCAATTGACAAGATTGCGACCAGAGCCTTGAACACATTTCTCTCACTAATTAAAACATCAAGCATAGTACAAAATTAGGAAGATTCGAACAATTTAAAAGCAATTGACAAGGCTGAGCCAATGGGCCTCTTTGTAAACACACAGCTAACAGCAAAAATACACTCATATAAGCCAGAGAGCTAAGCTTCTCAATAAACACGAAGTCCCCCAAAATACCGAGAAACTTGATACTATACGGAGCAAATGCCCTGAACATGAAGTCAGTAACTTGAAAACATGGAAACCTAAAGGTCTGGGTTGAAAAATGTTGTAATGACTACTATGCACTCTGTGCTGAGCAGCACAACACACTATTGCTATTATGTGATGTGCAGCTCCACATCAAATAATACTAATCTAATACACTGAGATAAGAGTACAGCAGTGCACATCCAATGTGGCAAACAGCTAAAGCAGCATTGAGGGGAACGCATACATCGGAAGGGATGACAGACATGCATAGATGCGGAGTCTTGGTCAAGTAGCTCAGAGACACACAGTGTCTAAAAGACTAACACGCTAAGCAAGGTCAACTCACTGGTTCAACTCACACCCAGAGAAATTCGCACCCAAGACAGCAGGGATTATCAAGAAAACGGAGAGAGAAGGATAGCGCAGAGTTCTAGCTCCATCAATAATAACTATATACAGCACGATCTAAAACTAAGAGAGAAAAATTTCAACATAAGTGGCACTTCTGAAATCTAAACCCTCTTGTGAAAAGAAATCCTTTCATTTAGAAACCCTGTTTAATTGTTTACAAATTTTCAGTTTTTCAGTTCAAATTAGCTGTCTAGGACTTTATATTTACAACGTCAAAAAGAACTATTGTTTTCTGTGAGAGAAGAGTAGCCTGGCACGTTTTAAAAACATAGACACAAGCCCTGCTATGATTTCAAAGCTCTGATAATGAGCCATTTGAAAACAGGGACACCACCCTCTGATGAACATGCAGTGGCCGAGTGAACTAAGCAAATCCGTGTGTCCATTTAACCAAGACAAGTGGAGGAGCACTTTTCAGAAGGACGTGCTGCAGTGGTGCGTGAGGACACCCGGAGCAGCCCTGCTGGGCTGACTGACACGGCCATGGCCACGGCCACGCTGGCTCTGAGCTCACAGAGTGAGAAGTGGCCTGCTTCACGTGTTAGTGGAACTCTGACATCTGGGTCAGCTGTGCTCTCTGCCGTGCCTGTGTTTGGACTCAGGATGGCAGTTTGGGAGGAGAAGTGCTGTGGTTGTCTGGCCACTCTGGTGTGCAGTGTGTAAAGGCACAAAAATGTAAGCGACGTCGTCAGAAAACCAGCCGTTAAACATGGTGTCGAGCATCACTGACCTCACCCTCTCCCCCACATTCCATCAGGTACCCCTCATATATTTATTTTCGGGAAGTAAAATCAGCTATTTTCCCATAAAAAAAAAAAAAACCCTCAGAGCTATTTTTCCTAATACAACACCTCCCATCCAAGAGCACAACACAATGGTTTCCAAACTATGACAGTCGCTGAAGGCCCCGTGGTCTGAGGGAGGTCAGCCTGCAGCACAGTTGTCACATGAGCTCCACAAAGCAGCAGAGTTGGGGGCAGCTCCAACTGACACTTGAAGGAAGATTAAGACAAAGGAACTGGAGGTTGCATCGGTCACTGTCCCCCGAGAGGGCAGCAAGGCCAGGCCCGGCTCCCTCTGAGCCATGGCTCATCACAGGCCTACCTTGGAAAGGGGACTGGAACTGCCTAACTCCCTCTCAGGACCTTAACAGTG